ACATGGTTTTGGGGAGGGATGTTCCTTACCCTGTGAAAGACATAGAACTATCTGAAAGATTAATGAAGAGAAATTCCTCCGTTCAGGAATCATCTGGTAGTGGAGAAGGAGTTGATAAACAGATATCAGCACCACAAGGAGAAAAACGGCGACCTAATAGGATACGCCGCAAATCATTTTCTTTCCCAGAACCAAACATGGTTTTGGGAAGGGATGTTCGTTACTCTCTAAAAGACATAGAACTATCTGAAAGATTAAAGAAGAGAAATTCCTCCGTTGACCTTTCGAACTATCTCATCCATGGAGCTAAAAAGAACGACACAATTTCGATATATCAAAACAGAATTAGAGGAGAGAATGAAAGCATGGTTAAAGATATTCTGGCAGATCTCATTAGAAACCTAAATTTTGCTGGTGACACTCCTGAAGATCTCGAAGATATAGATGTATCTGCCAGAATAGGTACACTGCATCCTAAAAAAGGTATAATTATTTTTATTTACTTCAAATATTTAACATTTCATCATCTGAAATTCTTAGGGTTGACCATACCCACTAATTTATTTTCCTAATAGGTTGATGTTGGATAGACTGTTCTCAGGTATCTTAAGATAAATAATTCTGCCCTTCAAAATATAAATTTATATTCGCCCTAAGATTCAGTATAGGAACTGTTTCAATCCAATGTAGTTCATGTTAATCTGGTTTTAAAATACGAATGTTCTTTTCTAATTTCAGCTAAGAAACCCTCCAAGATGCGAAGGATCGGAGCAGCCTTACGTCGTGTTGGTCGCAGTTTAATTTGCCCCTTCACATCTTGTCTTAAATCATCTTAAATAACCACTTTATTTTTATTATTTCTTTAAGATATAAGTTCAGATTTTGAAACCTTTTTGATGAAACGTCACTGGAAACCTTTATCTAATTCAACCATAGTCGAGCAAATATATTTCTGATCATTCGGATCAAATTCAAAACTTTAACACGAGCTGTCCTCTTTATTTTTTGGTTCTTCTATACCTACAGTGTTCTAAAATATTTCTCTATAAAGATGTTGTTTTAAACACATGTAGAGTTGAATTTTTGTGTCCATTGAAAATGATAGTAACTTTGTCATAGAAACTAAATAATTGTACTTTAAAACCACTCTTGTACTTATTTTGATTTCTAAATAGAAGTGTAGATTTATCTGCATTGTATAAAAATTAAAGATGGATACTACAATGCTTAAATGGATTATTTATTTATTTATTATCTTACCTAGATTCCTTTTTTTATTTTCTTCCTCAACATGGCCTAGAAAAAATACAATTACGTAAGTTTCCAATTTCAGTAATTCCCTTTAAGACTTAAAAACCCTTAGCATGAGATTCCCATAGCGTCATAAGAAATATGCATTCAAGAGTTCCCTTTGAGAGTCACTTAATGACTTGACCATGTGATTCTCACCGAGAGTCACTAAGACCCTCTTAACATGAAATTCCCATAGCGTCATTAGAAACACTTATTCAAGAGTTCCCTTTGAGAGTCACTTAATGACTTGACCATGTGATTCTCATCGAGAGTCACTAAGACACTTTAAACTGAAATTCCCATAGCGTCATTAGAAACACACCATTATACTTTGCAGGTCCCCTTTTCGTTATTACAGAAGAACATATAAGGAATGTGTGAGGGTGTGTGTGTATGAGTATGAAACCGCTATATCGGTTCTTTCTTAAATATAAATTCACTAACAGTTGGTTTTTACTATGATAATCAAAAGTTATCTCTGTTTGTGACCTAGACCAGTGTTTTTATTGGGATTTTTAAATCTCAATCTCACTCTAACACAATTTACAAGGTTACACCCCATTTGTTAGACGTCCTAATTGTTAGACAATTACCTCGATCTACAGTCAATATAAACTACTGTACCGCCATTTACCATCATCTACAATAAAATATAAACCTTAGGCTATGATGTAAATAACGTTGTATACTTAAAAAAAAGTTTATCATCATCTACTATTATTTACCTTTATTTACAATCAATATAGACAACTTTACCATCATTTACCTTTATTTACAATCAATATAGACAACTTTACCATCATTTACCTTTATTTACAATCAATAAAGACATCTTTTTCATCATTTAACTAAAATCAAAAAAAAAAATTAACCACTATCTAAAATCACTAACCTTTACCACTAAAATCTCCTCTGTTTCGGAAACAAGTAGTTTATATTAGATATTGATCTTACTTACTAAAACATAAACCGACTTGAACCGACCAAAAAACGATCCTGAAACGACCACAGAAAACTTGAAACTACCCGGAACCGAGTAGAAAATCGACCAGGAAACGACCTGAAACTAATTTGCGATGAATCGGGCCAAACACGTAGGCCTACTTTATTTTCGAAAAATGTGCATTTAGGATAGGATCATCTTTCGCTGATCGGTTTTTGAGAGACCACAATTTTCATCCGATTTAAATGAAATTTGGTGTGATCAATTATAATGATGAGATCTTAGACAAAGTCGAATTTGACGATCTTTCGATTAACATTTTTGAGTAATTGCCCTTGATTTACGAAAAACGCGTCAAAATTTGTTTGTGAACACAATAGAGAGTACAGTTTTCATCCGATTTAAATGAAATTTGGTATGATCATTTATAATGATGAGCTCTTAGTCCAGAGTGAATTTGACAATTTTTTGATATTTGATATACTGAAAATGTATCAGGAAAGTGGGCGCATCTAGCTAGGCAACCACTTGTTATCTCTTCAAACTGGCGGTTCAAAGTGGTTCTGTGCTTTGTTTACATTACCTCATTTCTGTTCTACCGATCTGATTGGTCAGATTTAAATGCCGCCAATCTCATTTCCACGCCCAAAAAATGTAGCATAGTGGGCTTAGTTTAATACGGGTTAATAAGACCAGAAGATTGAATTAGTATGGGTTCCATCGCACGTCTCCATTCCTGGCAATGATCAACCCTAATAGGTTGATGTTGGATAGACTGTTCTCAGGTATCTTAAGATAAATAATTCTGCCCTTCAAAATATAAATTTATATTCGCCCTAAGATTCAGTATAGGAACTGTTGTAATCCAATGTAGTTCATGTTAATCTGGTTTTAAAATACGAATGTTCTTCACTAATTTCAGCCAAGAAACCCTCCAGGATGCGAAAGATCGGAGCAGCCTTACGTCGTGTTGGTCGCAGTTTAATTTGTCCCTTCACATCTTGTCTTAAATCATCTTAAATAACCACTTTATTTTTATTATTTCTTTAAGATATAAGTTCAGATTTTGAACCTTTTTGATGAAATGTCGCTGGAACCTTTATCTAATTCAACCATAGTCGAGCAAATATATTTCTGATCATTCGGATCAAATTCAAAACTTTAACACGAGCTATAATATCTACAATGTTCTAAATTATTTCTCTATAAAGAT